GAAAGAAAATATATCAAATTTTCAATATTGTATTTCTTGTTCCTCAAGTCCATAAAATGTTTGGGGCATGTCTCACTATGTGAGTTTGCGTTCACTTTGATTCTCAAATTAAATACTTTAATCTTACGTTAATTATTAATTAGATAAAATCAAAGTAAATATATATTTCATGGTTCTCTCCTTTGACATCTTTCATATTGTAAGCAAATAAAGTCTTAGTACAAATTTCTTCAAAGTCAATAATAACATTCAATTTTTATCTCTTCTGTGAGTCCCTTTCCTAAATTACCTCATGTAAACATACACTTTTTTGAAGTACATAACCAAAATTCTGGAATCACTTACACCTTAAATCTAAACGATAATATATAATGGTAAAATTAATATCTTCATACAATGTTTAGTACATTAAGAAAAAAAATACATATATGCAAAATGATTTTATAAAATAAGACATAATACTTCTGTTGGGAATAGTGACTCAAATCTCATAACAGATTTATTAGATATTACTTGATGGACAAGAAGACTTATAAGAGAAGAATTTTAAAAGGAAAAAAATTTTTAATAGGTAAGTTTATATGCCTATAAATAAATAAAGTTTTTACAAGATTAGATATGAGAAAAAAATACAATAGAGTTGTAGGATTTTATAAAATAAACACTCCATAAGACTATAAGAGATTAATGTTCTTATTGGTGTGTTTGCTTAAGTGGATTAAAAGAGAATGAGACGGTCCACATAGATATGATAGTGTGAATATTTGTAAGTGAACTAGAAAAAACTAAGAGGGTCCACATAAGTATGGGAGCATGAGTGTATATAGGTATATGTTTATTTAGGTTAAAAATATTTTATAGAACTATGAGAGATTGAGAGAGTCCATAGGTATTGATTGTTGAGTGCTGACTGATATGGGTTATATGTTTGTAATTTTTTACAACTAATGGATCTTTTTCTCATCCATTGACGTAGATTAGTTAAGCCAAATCATGTTAAATTATTATCTCTTATGTGATTGATTAATTATTTTATTATACTTCTACTGGCATGAATATTCAATTGGATTGGGGCTATTTAGCCTAACAATGGTATCAGAGAATGATTTGAGCCATGATAAGAGATAAGTCCAAAAGAGCTTAACTCAAGGAAAAAGTTCGAGTTCGTGTTTTGAAGATTGATTTGAGTAAAGTTTAAACAAACACAAGAGAAGATGATTGCAAGATTTTTATTGTTGATGGAGTCAAGCATATTTAGTATGAAGATTGATAATTGATGAAATTTGTGTCAAAGTAAAGATTGTTAGGAATAGTGACCTAAATCTCATAATAGATTTGTTTGAGATTGGTTAGATATTGCTTGATAGATAAAAAAACTTGTAAGAAAAGAATTCTAAAAGAAAAATAATTCTTGATAGGCAAGTTTGTATGTTTATAAATAGGTAAAGTCTCTACAATATTAGGTATGAGAAAAAGATATAAGAGAGTTGTAAGATTTTATGAGATAAACACCTCATAGGACTATAAGAGATTAACGTCCTTATGGGTATATATGTTTGAGTAGACTAGAAGAGAATGAGATGATCCACATAGGTATAATGATGTAAATGTTTGGAAGTGAACTAGAGAAGATTGAGATGATCTATATAGGTATGGGTGCATGAGTGTGAATGAGTATATCTGTTGTTTAAGTTGAAAATATTTCATACGACTAGAGAAGATTGAGAAGGCCTATGGGTATTGATTGTTTAGTGCTAATTGATATGAGTTATATGTTTGTAATTCTCTACAACTAATAAATCTTTTTTTCATCCATGGACGTAAGTCGGTTGGATCGAATTACGTTAAATTACTGTCTCTTATGTGATTGATTAATCGTTTGATTATACTTTCATTGGCGTGAATATTCAATTAGATTAGTGTTATTTAACATAACAACTTCTTCATTTCCAAATTATTAGTCCTTTTTTTTTTAATTTTATGGAAATTAAAAAAATATTAATTTTGATATATTTGATTTGATTTTTTTATTTTTTAAAAAATTAATATTTCATGATTTTTAATATTAAAAAAATAAATAATTTTAAGACATTCAAATAACAAAAAATAAAAAATAAAAATGAATAAAGGAGAAGAATCATTGATGTCGTGAATAGGTTTACATTATGAATAATGCCCATCGGCGTGTCTTCGTAAAAACCTTAAAGCATTTGAAAATTGTTTTATATATTGTATTTGGTTTGATGAAAATTGTTTTATACATACTTTTAGTCATACATTATGTTCTTAAAAATTCTGTTGCTGTATTTTGCTTATCTTTTTTTTTTCTTTTGTTACTAAATTTGATATATTTTGTAAAAATAAGAATATGATTTATTATTACTAGCAATATACTCGCGCATTACTATGGGTCTAAATTTTTTTTATTTGTAGTTAATAATATTCATGATAAATATAATAAATCAATAAGTATAATTTTGTTTATAATTTTTTAATAATAGCAATATTCAATGAAAATTTATTAACTAATTTATGGATAACATATACATTTCATTTGCATAACTTATATAAAAAATCAAATCCATATTTACTCTTTTAAATTTATCTTTACAAATAAATAAACAATATTAAAATAGACCATTAAAATATAAAAAAGTTAAAACTAAAAAAAAAAAAGGTTCAAGAAAAAAAGAATGATGGATAGCCAAATAAGGGTGACACTTAGCAACTCAACTTAAGAATGGCAAGGGTTAGGAATAGGCTTATCCTTATCTTGACTTTGACCTGACATTGGGTTATTACATTTTACACTTAACCCCAACCCAACATATATATGTATAACTAACATCTAACCCAACTTAACAAAAAATTTTCAATAGTATGTATAACATTCATGAAAATATTTTTAATATAAATTATTTCTTACTTATATATAAATTAAGATATTAAATAAAATTTTTTTAGCATAATATATATAAATATAAAATTAAATAAATAATAAAATATATATTCTTATATATACTCAAGGATGGGATAAGACAAAGCACTCTAAACCTACAAAAGCACTCTAAACCTATCTCTATTCCAACCTTGATTTTCAAAAAGGAAAAATCTCCTTGCGCCGACTTGATTTTAATTTTAAAATAGTCATCATGTTGGATTGACTTGTTGAAACTTGTTGAATACCGATTATTTTTGCCAACATAGCTTTTATTGCCCATTTTTAATAAGATTTATCTCATTAAAAAAAAAGAAAAAGGCTAAAAAAGGAAAAAAAAAAAAAAGCCAAATGAAGGTGCCATGTTGACATTTCAATTGCCTATTTATCTTTCTAAATATAGATAAAAAAACACTAAAACAAATAATTAAAAGAAGTGAAACAAAAAAAAAAAAGAAAGAAAAGCTTAAGAAAAAAAAAAGCCAAATACAGATGTTATATGGATACTTTCATTTAAGGATAGCAACGAGTTGAGTTCAAGCAGGTTTATACTCATCTCAACTTTGACTAATTATTTTTAATAATTCAATTTGATTCTAATTCTGACCCAACATAGAGTTATTATTTTTTACGGATAATCCCAACCCAACTCATAAAATTATAACATGTATTCAACCATCAAAATCTAAAATTAATAAAATGATTTTAAATTTACTATAATATTTATTAAAAATTTTAAAAATAAATTACATCTTATTTTTGTATAAGTATAATATCTTTATTAAATTAAGGTATTAAATAATATTTTTATTAATATAATATATATAACTAAAATAAATAATAAAAAAATATTTTTATATATCCGTAGTTGGACAAAACATCTTAAACTTGTTTTTGACCTAACTTTTATTTTTAAAAAGAAAAACTTGACTTGATATTGATCTTGATCTTGAATTTAAAAAAAAAAAAAAAAGCATCCATTGGTTTGGGATGAATTAAAATTTATCAAATATGAATGTTTTGTCATCCTTACTTCTATTGATTTACTTTTTATAAATTTTATCTAATTAAAAAAGTTAAAAAAAAAGTAAAATAAAAGAAATGGCAAAAAAGGAAAGACAAATGGAATATCATGTGAACACCGTTATTGGCTTTTTTTCCTTACGAAATTTGGCCTATAGATTAAAAAATAAAACTAAAAAAATAAATTCAAATACCAAATAAATATATACTTTCATTAGTATCATTTTCTTATAAAATTATCTAATTTAAAAAATACCAAAAAAAATATTTTTAATAAAAAACATTAAATGAACTCAAAAATATATTTTAAAAATTATTAAATATAAAAAAAAGATAAAAGATAAAAACTAATCAAATGTCACATAGCACCAAAATAATTTAAATTTATAGTAAAAATTTAATACTAGATCTAGCAATTTATATATTTGTGTCGTGTAAAATATTAAAATTAATACAAAAATTATAAATCATAATATATTAATAAAAAATAAAAAATATATTTTTAGTTTATTAAATTTATATATAGTTAATATTCAAATTTTAAGTTATATTATTTTTATATTATTTATTTATATCTTATTATAATATTATATTTTAAATTATTAAATTTATTTAATATTGAGTATTTAAAAATAAAGACACAATGAATTATTTTTTAGGTAATGAAAACATATCATTTTTTTTAAATACAATTAAAAAAAATGTTCCCAAGTTTTAATTGCACGAACATAGTTTTTTTTGGCTAATTTTTGGCGTAACATATATGTATATACTGTCAAAAAAAATGTCCGAGGAGCGAGAATTCTGACACCGTCAATCAGCGAATGGAGTTGACGTTTTCGATTTGGCACCACCATGATTGGGTTATAAAATTTCTCCAGGTAATATTTACTACTTAACATCATCATTAAATCTCCTGATTTAACGCGTACGGAAATAGATATTTACCCAGTGAAATCATGACACCTGGAAAATCTATAAACTCTGCTTCCGTCAGCCACAATTCTTAAACCGTCTATTAAAAATTTTTTTTTTCTGAAACCGCACTCTGCCGTAGCTACACACAATAATTTCTCACTAATTATATTTAAAAGCCTCACGCATCTCAAAGCCCACCTAAATAAACAAGCGACTTCCAACAAATCTTTCTCGTCTGATTAATACCCAAGTTACCTGAAATGTAATTAGTAAAAGCCCAACTGTTTTAATACCTCTCAAGGGTGTCTTGATCATTTCACAACATTTTTGCCAACGTGGCCTTTTTAGAAAGAGGGAGAGAGAGAATGGTCAAGGGCAAAGGGCGAAGGCTTGAGGAGTCTTAAAGACTGTCCGTTTGCCTTTTTACTGAGACGACACGACGGCGGATTAGGACTTAGAGGCAGTTTGACAGTTTAAAACGGTACCCTTTTTCCTTTCTCTCGTCCTTGTACGAACCCTTGCCTAGCCAGTATGGTTTTCTCAATCATTTTCTCCCTTTTTTCAAAAGGCCACCGCCAATCTCTCCCTCTCTGTCTCTCCGGTTAGAGCTCGGAATCACGCCGGAGATCCTCCAGCGAATCCGACGGAAGCTAAAGAGAAAGAACGAAAAAGTGTTTGAAAAAAACAAGAGAGAGAGGGAGAAAACGTGCGATTCTGAGATTAAGAAAAAAATTAAACAAACGAAGTTATAAATTAAAAGAAAAAGAAAAAAGGAAGAAAAGAGGAAGGAGGAGGTGGGGGTGGTTAACGTGCAATGCAGGGAAAAGGAAGGCATGAAAGCAGTGCTTGCAAGGCACAGATGCCAAGATGATCCCTTCTTCATTCAATCTCCCTTGCCTTATGCCGCAATTTATTCGATGTTCTCTCCTCTCTCAAAGTCTTTTCTCCCCCCACCTCCGTTTTTAAATACCTCTCCCTCTCCCTCTCCTGATTTGGAAATTGAAAACACACAAAATATTCTCTTCTCGTTTTCCGAATTTTGATCCCCTAATCGGCTCGTTTTGACTTCCGAGCTCGATCTTGTTGAGAATTTGTCTTCGTTGTTCGCTTGCGCGTTGTATCTTTCATAATCTTCTTTGGCCATGGTTTCTATAATTAATACATACTACAAAATATAAAACCGAAGAATTCCGCGTCCTTTGGCTTTGATTTTTTTGGTAGGTGATGTATAACATTTTCTCCCTCTGTTGCAATCTTAATATTAAATGCATATTTAATTTTCCCCCTCGTTTCTCATAATTGGCATGATGTTAACTCTTGAGTCTATTTATCTTTGTAAATGTTCATAATAATTGCAGGCCATGCCTCTGCCCTTTTTTCATTTAAATACTTCAATTGCTTTCCTTGTTGAGCCAAGTTATTTTTGCCTGCAGAGTTTTGTTTTGTTTTTGTACATAAACGGTTGAGGGGCCTGGAGAGATGGAAATATTTTGAGAAATTTTGAGTTGTTTGAAGAAATTCTTGGTTTCATCTGGCCATATGAGGCAATGGACCTTCAGAGTTTGTCTTTACCATCCTCCTCCTCTGATGATAAACGTTTTCCCAATGAGGTACCTTATTTTCTCGGTATCCTGCAATTTTTTTTTCTTCTGTAAATTGAACAAGTAATTTCAATTTAGTTTCATTTTATTCGCTTCTAGTTGTTTTTGTTCACATTCTAAATTTGAAGTTGCTGGATTGTGACAGAGGCAGGTTGGATTTTGGAAGTCAGACACCGTGCTTGATCAGCATGGTTAGTATTTCAAGTATTTGTTTAGTTTGTTTCATATTCTAGCTCATTAGCACTTCACGTCGTTCAATTTTATAGTCTATATTTTTATCTTTATACATCTTGGGGGGAAGTAGTTTTAATTGGAAATTGATCTATGTTGATCTTTTCTGTTTAAAGTAGAAGTGGTTTCTTTTCTAAAATTTCATCTCACATGGAACTGAAATCAGACAAAGTATCATCCTATGCATATTAAGTGCACCAAAGTACATTTAAACCTGCAAAGTATCTTCAATCTAGGAAAAGCAGGCTTTATGAATTCTTTTTTTGTTGGATTTTCAAAGTTCTAGATATGGATAAGTTAACAAAAGCTTGGCCCGGTCTAATTTTGAAGCTGTGAGTGAATTGGAAAAATGTGAAATAAGAAAGCATGGGATGATGGGGCTTCATGCAAATTAAATGAGAAATCCGTGCTTTCGAATGAAATGTAAAATTTTTTGCTTCTAGTGCTCGAGAATTGTGATATTGGCCACTCTTTGTTTGTCCATAGCATGGAACTTAATTATTCCCACTTGGAATGTTTGTTAATGTTCTTGTGATGACTTGGTTTAGGTGAACTTTGACATGATACTTAACTTGTTTCTTTACATCTAGATCAAAATTTTTGGCAACTATATTCAAACTGATGAATTTGGAAATTTTGGGGAAGATACAACAAGCTGGCTGGATATTTAAATCATAAGGTAGATTTGTTTCAATAGTTGTTAATGCTGGTCATAAGTAGCTTTTACTAACATAAATGATTGTTGGAGCTAGGGGTGGGGTGTTTACACTATGATCGACTGTTAACTTTGCTTTGAAATTTAAGGTAATCCGATTTCTTCAGAAGGCACTTTTAGACAATAAACAAACAACCTTTTCACACCAGGGGGGTGGGGATTGTGGACCCTGTCTTTGCCTCTTTGAATTATTCTATTTCTATGAATTTTCTTTTGTGTGAAAGAGTATCACTGTTATTACCGAACATGTATAAGTTATAGCATCTGGCCCTGGAGATGCTGAAATCAGGTTGACTTTTTTTATCTATCGCTCCTCAATAAGGTACTTCCTGATCTTCCGGGACGATCTGTATCATATACAGAGACAATGACCAAGACAAGTTTAAGAGTATCATATAGACAATTACAACCAGTTTTATGAATCAAAACCCCGGCCATCTGACTCTAGCTTCTTTATTATATTATCATTTCCAAATCTGTATTCAGAAGTGAAAGCTTACATTTTCCACTCGCAGCACATACGAAGCCAGTTGCTTCATCAACCATTGAGAAAATTATTCCAGTGGAAAGTCAGAGAACAAAATATCTGGAGCATACTGAGACTTTCACCAAGCAAGACCAGAACGTTAATCTATGCATAGATAGCCAGGCAGTGGGAGCAGAGAGAGTGCCCGATCGGTCACTAAATTTGTTGAGACCTATTAAACAAGGTCCAGGAAAAAAATTGAGTTTTAATGGAGACCATGGATTTCATGTTGCAGAAGGAAGCACAGTCAACACCATGACTTCCCATTATGAGAACAGCCTCTTTTCAAGGTCATTTTCAGAGTTATTTACTAGGAAGCGTAAGTCTCTCTCCCTTTCACTTTTGTTTTTTAACATATTGAATGGTATATTAAGCTTTTGATTATGGGTGTCACTGCAAGCTTTGCTCATAGCATCTTTAGGGTTCAGGATGCTGCTTTCTTATCTGATGTTTATATAACTGGCATATTCCTTACAATCATTCTTGTTGCAGTGAGATTATCTTCAAACAATGCTCTACATGGCCATTCAATTGACGCTGTTGCCACAAACTATGACGAAGAGGAACCATTCGAATCTCTTGAAGAACTTGAGGCCCAAACCATTGGAAACCTTCTGCCTAATGATGATGACTTGTTTTCCGGAGTGACAGAAGGACTTGATTTTATTGTCCTGCCAAATGTTTCAGAGGAGGTAGAAGAATTAGATGTTTTTAGCAGTGTTGGAGGGATGGATTTAGGAGATGATGATTTCACTGTTGTGCAAAAGAATTCTGAATTTCCTGGGGAAAATCACCAGGGTTTAAGTAATGGTTTAGTTGCAGGAGAACACCCTTGTGGTGAACACCCTTCTAGAACACTGTTTGTGAGAAACATAAACAGTAATGTTGAAGATTCTGAGCTAAAGGCCCTTTTTGAGGTCAGCAATTGTTGGATAATGATGCGCATTTCTTTTTGGGGTTTGTTTTTGGTGTGAATGCACGGTGTGCTTTACTTGAGCTTGTTTGTCTTATTTGAATGCTTAACCTTGTCGCAATTTCCTACGTGTTGAATGTGCAGCAATATGGTGACATTCGCACTCTTTACACAGCTTGCAAGCATCGTGGTTTTGTTATGATCTCATATTATGATATTAGAGCAGCAAGAAACGCAATGAAAGCACTCCAGAATAGACCATTCAGGCGTAGGAAACTTGACATTCATTACTCAATCCCAAAGGTTAGCTTATTTGTTGCAATATTTCTTAATTCCTGGTTCCGCTTTAGATTGCTATTGTAATAAAAAATATTGCTATCATGTTCAGGTTTGTTTTATGTTGCTATAACATTGATGCTTAAATGCTATAGTCCGACTCTTTTCATTGCTGACAGGACAATCCTTCAGAGAACGATGAAAACCAAAGCACTCTAGTTGTATTTAACCTTGATGCATCTGTTTCAAATATTGAACTTCGTCACATATTTGGTGCCTATGGAGAAATCAAGGAGGTGAATTGGGTGTTAATTTTGCTTCCTTTCTACTTTGTAAAAGTTGAATAGGCCATTGGTTTATTCTTGTTGTTGGACTACAGATCCGTGAAACACCACAAAGAAGTCAACACAAATTCATTGAGTTTTATGATGTTAGAGCTGCTGAGGCTGCTCTTCATTCATTGAACGGGAGTGATATTGCTGGGAAGCGGATTAAGGTTGAGCCTAGCCATCCTGGGTGTTCAAGAACATGGTATTGCCCAAGCTTTTTGATTTTTCTTTTGCACTTTGCATGTTCTTTCTCACTTCGTCAAGTCATGGCTATCAAACTTAGATAGCCCTGACCTGAGAATATTTTTAACCAATTCTTGTGGCAGATAAATGGTTACTGATTTATGTATTTTCAAAGTTCCCTCTTATTTTCTGCTTGCAGTTTGGTGCGACAGCTTCCTTTAGAGGAGCGAGATGAACTCTGCCCTTATGAGCATCTACATAGTCCCTCTAATAAGGCAACCGTGGCATTTCCTGGTATGGTTGTTGTCACTTAGATTTCCCAACAATTATATGTCAATTCAAGGGCAAACTTCATATCTTTCAAACAAAAAATAAAGACCAAACTTCATATCTCTGTTCTCATCCAAGAAATTTCAATGAGTGCAGTCAGGGCAAACTCATCAATTAATATGGCTAATGGGATTAGTTCAGTGGTGAACTCTGCCATACAGGCCCGCTTTTTGGAATCAACAATTCATCATGGAATCTCTTCCGGTGTGTCTAACAGCTTAATGTCAACGGCTAGAGTGGGATCAATTGGCAATCAATCTGTCATTGCTGAGTCAGGCCACTTGCAAGGTCAACTGACATTTGATGCCCAAGGGGCATCAAGTTTTCATTCTCGTTCACTACCAGAGTTTCAGAATGGTTTATGTAGTGGTGTTCTCTCCAATTCTTCTGGCCCCATGGTTGCAAATATTAATTCCAAACCACTTGAAATAATTGATAATAGGCCATTATCCAGAATTAACTCAAATGGGCACTCATTTGAATTCAGCAAAGCTGGTAAGGATGGTAAATTAGTAGGTGCAATTCCATTCATGTTTTTTTTTTCCTTTTTTTTTTTTGGTTTATTTCTTGCATATGGATAATAGGTACTTCTTGAGCTGTAGAAATGAACTTTAGTTGGCTAAGCATATACCGAGTTTTCCAAACTGTCTTTAGCAAGCTTTTTTGGTGCCTTTTTACAAGCTTGAAATCGTAAAGAAAATTTTCTTGTAGTCTGAAATACAAAATGTTGGTTTTGTTTTTTTATTCATTTAAGTTGGTTCTTGCTGATTTTTTCAGGTTTTCCATCTGCTGGAAATGTGAGCCATCTTCTTCCTGGACATCATTATTCATGGAGTAACTCTTATCACCAGCCTCCAAGCATGATGTGGCCTAATTCACCTTCCTTAGTTACTGGAACTTGTGGTGCTCATCCTACAGCACGGCTTCATGGACTTCCTAGGGCGCCATCTCATATTTTGAACGTTGGTGTACCCATAAATAACAGCCATGTTGGGTCAGCACCAACTGTTACTCCTCTCTGGGACAGGCGACATGCCTATGCAGGGGAATCTCCTGAGGCTTCCACTTTTCGTCCAGGTTCTCTTGGCAGCATGAGAGGTGCTAATAATTTGTCACATTCAATGGAGTTCGTTCCTCATAACATCTTTCCTTATGTTGGTGGAAACTGTATGGATGTATCAGTGTCTCAAAAAAATGTAGGACTCCAGTTACTTCACCCAAGGTTCTCAGCGTATACTAGGAGAGGGCAAATCATTCCGATTCTGAATTCAGTTGATTCTCCTCAAGAAGGTACAAGAAGCCAGATGAATGACAGCAGTATTAATCAGGGTGACAAGAAGCAATTCGAACTTGATATTGATCGCATAATACAAGGGGAAGACAAGCGAACAACACTTATGTTAAAGAACATTCCTAACAAGTGCGTACCCCTGACTTTGATTCTGAGATGCTGTGCTCATTATCATAGAGTATCACCATTTCTTTGATATTAATTGATGACCAACTAACTGGGTCCATCTGAAATGCAAATAAAATTTGCCCGACCTGTTAATAGTACAGCCTTGACATCTCAGCAATATTTTGACAGTTGCTCGTTATTTAATAGAACAAACACATAAAGAAAAACTCCATACACACTGTAGAAAGAGGGCTACCCAAACATGCCCAAACACAAGTATGGCTGTTCCTACATCTGGCTTTCCGACGCTCTCAAATTACAATTATCATCAGTAGATTAATTCGTTAAGCATAATTTATATGCTTAAAGAGAATTTAGATCTTTGTTGCAAGTAGAAGAATCCTCCTATTACTTCTTGATTTTCTTCTTGGTTTTGTATGATTCTGACTCTGTCAATTATAACTGCAGGTACACCTCAAAGATGCTTTTGGCTGCAATTGACGAACGCCATCGAGGAAGTTATGATTTCATTTATTTGCCAATTGATTTCAAGGAAAGTTTCTTTTTGTCTGGAATATTCTTTTAGTCTTTTGTGAATGAGAGGAAGCGCTTTAGAAGGAATCGATTTTTATTAATTGAAACATATCATTTATTTTACCCATTTTGTTGCAGAATAAATGCAATGTGGGATATGCATTTATCAACATGATTGATCCTAGCCAAATTATTACATTTTATCAGGTATGTTTTGTTTTCAAAGTTGGAGTTGATGGGGTCTATACCAAAAAGAAAAAAAAAACCTGTTATGCAAATTGCGATATGAGATGCTAAGTTAAAAGAAATAAATTGTGACAGGCATTCAATGGGAAGAAGTGGGAGAAATTCAACAGTGAGAAGGTGGCATCACTTGCTTATGCTCGTATACAAGGAAAGGCAGCCCTTGTTGCACATTTTCAGAACTCAAGCTTGATGAATGAGGATAAGAGATGTCGACCTATACTCTTTAACACTGACGGCCCGAATGCAGGTGATCAGGTACCAAAGTTTCCCGGGAGGATACCGAACTAGTTATTGCAACCTTCACTGATTAGCATGGTGGTAAAAACTAAAGAGGATCATTATTAGGCACCTTTGCTTGGGTTTGAACCCAAGTGACCCCTGTCCTCTTCCACTTCTCTAACTATATTCCCCATGCTCAAAGGAACAGAAGGATTTGTGCATCTCAAGGTCTTCCTAAGCAGGGAAACCTGCTTATATGATGGCTTTTGGCTTGTTGGGAAAAACAAATACTTGTGGATTCATAGTAAAGAATATAAAACTTTGCCAACGGGTTGGTTAAGTTAGTAAAATTCGAATATTTCGTTTATAAGGTCAAGTTTAAGTCTCCGCTGTCAGCAATCTCCTAGATGGATGTTTATAAAGTCTCTTATACTTAAGATCTACCCTAACACAGAAATGGAGAAACCTTCCTTCACTCTAAACCTTTTCAGTAAAAAGAATATATAAAATTCTCACACACCATCCTTTTGCAGGTGCCATTCCCAATGGGGGTTAATGTTCGAACAAGATCTGGAAAAGCTCGTTCCACCGGTCATGAGGGGAATAATCAAGAAAGTCCTTCAAATACGGAAAATGAAGAGAATTTCTTCTAATGGGGAAACTTGTTCTTCAAAGCAATCGGGCTAAGGAAGCCAATTTCATTTTTTGAGCGCTAACCTTCTAGCACTAGTACTGCAAAATCGCATCTACCGAAAATCTGGCTACGGGTATCAAGGATATACATAAAGAAAAAAATAAAAAAGGTGTAAAAGAATCTTTTATGAGAAAGTTTGCTTGGACAAAACTTAATAGTGATTCTAAAATTTTCTTCGGGTTTTCATGAATTCTAGAGCAGTTAGAAAAAGGAGTATTGCTAATGGAGCTTCAAAATTTTGGATACAATATATCCCATCATATGTGTAATATATAGAGGGTCAGGGTCATTGACATTTTCTCTTCTATTTTCGATTTTCAAGGTTTTCTAGAAAATTTATTCTTGGAGTTTCCGTTTCTATACCTGTATAAACGCGTTGCTTCTGGCATGAAAATTGAATCTAGTCTCACTTAAAATTTTTATAAATGTCCTACAATCTGTTTTGAGCCCATCATCTTAACATTTACGCTTGAAGTATTACTCTCTGATAAGGAAGGGTAAGGTGGCTTATGTTAGCCAGAAGTGACCTAGCTGGATAGTTTCCCTGCAGCAATTAATTTGATCAAGCGAAGAAGAGCACATTTTATGACATAAGTTTTTGACACTGGTTTCCGTCCACCACCCAATGGCCTTGCCAAGATAACCTATTGCACAGCTTAGATTTAGTGTAGCAATTGATTAAAGTCGTCAAAAGAGAGGCTTATCAATATCACGTTTCCTTCAAGCCAAGCCAAGCCCAGCCCAGCGACTACGAATTTAGAGGGGGAATAAAATAAAATAAAATCAACTTTTACGACAAGCAGAATGAACAGTTATATTTGGACCGATGCAATTTTAACATTCTGGGTGCCATGAACATTCTCAATACAAAGATACCAATTTTCCAAGTCTTGCGGTAACCCTGTGTTTATATATCCCATCAATGTCACACAGTTAAGAAGCACATAAACAGTTTAGAACATTGAGTTACAGCAGAATAATCCAGTGTATGCTTTTGCATTACCCCTGCAAGGTACATTTGCCCACAAGGACAACTGATTGGGACATTGTCAACAATCTACCTGCGAAACAAAACAAACAAACAAAGAAAAGCCTCTTAGGCATTTGTTACTGAATGTTAACAAAAGCTAATGTTGGGGTAGCATAACAAAAATTGCCATTGCTAAAAGATTATGTCAAAAGCTAGAAGCATCGAGCTGCCATCCAAGGAATTAGTGGCTCCTCATAAAGTAGTTCGGGGCAGTGCCGCCCACAAATTGTGGCATAAATTAACGTGTCCTTGTGGCTGAAAAGGTATCCTACTGATACTATAATTGGGGAGGTCCAGCAAAGCACTATATTGATGATCCTTAAAGGACGTATGGAACCACTTACCAGAAAATGCAAGTGCATCATTTTGGATAGAGAATGTCATAGTGACCTGGCCGATATAGTAATGTAATAAAAGGCCTGATTGGCTCACTGCTATCACTTGTAGCATTTGAATGGTCACCCGAAGTAGGAACAAAATCATGATGGTTTACACTGACACCACCTTTGTCACAAGAGCTTCTATCAAGGTACATAACTCGGATTGGCACACCCAACGCATCTGAAAGGGCAGTAATGTGCACATGATCACTCTCTTCACCCATTGGCTCTACTGATGATTTGCAAAACTACAAAACAAATTATGCAATGAGAGAAATTAAAAATCAAAAGGCACCAGGCTATATAAAGTTATGTTTAAAATTTCCAACCAACTGCCAGAATGCATATAGGGGAAATTGGGAATAAATAAAGTATTAAATGTGATCATGTAAATGAATTTTGTGTGACTGAAAAAAAAATATAGATGATGTAAACTTTACAACATTGAAAATATGAGCACAATATACAACATGAAGGACCGTCAAGAAGATACAAGGAAACAGTTGCTGTATTACCATAGCATGAACCAGTAATCAAACATGTCCAACCCCTCAAAGACAACAGAAAACTGGCTTTGAATAGCATGCTTATAATATCAGGTTTGCCATTCAAAGCCTTCTTTAACAAAGCATGAAAGGATGTCAAGTGCTTGTGAGCATTCAAAAAAGTTTTATTATATTGAAACAAACCTGTTCCACTGTTGCATTTGTTAATCCCAAAATAAAGGGTTCGAAAAACTCTGAACGCTTTCGTATTTCACCAGAGGTAACAAATCTGAAGAACATTACAACTAACCAACCAAACTTGTTATGACATATACCAAGGAGAAAGACACATAAATATTCAAAAATTTTGAACCCACTCACCATAATCGGATATTGATTGGTCTCGACTCCTTATTATTAACTCATCCTGACTGACAAAGGGGAAAAAACCTTGTTAAGCAGCTCAGACTCATTTAATTTTCAATTGATGGAGGCAAGTAAAAAATTTGCCTCCAAGCCACAGATCAACTGATCATGATTATCAAATAAATGTCTATAGCAACTCAAACACATGAATGTATCAAGGCAAAGTAATATATGTAAACACCTTATGGAATCTTCATTTCCTTGAAGAACACTGTCCAGCTGCTCAAGGAATAACTGAAATTTTCACATGGAAGTGCAGACACAAAGAAAAGGTGTTAGACAAGGGGAAACACAAGTAAGGTGCTTCATGAAGAAAACCATCACTCTGATAACAACATATCCAAAATAATTCAAAGGTAAATAATATACAAGGCATTATTTTTTTCCCCAAAAATTAATCATTGAAATGAAAGAAAACTCTACACCAAAAATCAACATAGGAAAACTAATCCTTCACTCCAGCTACAGGAGGAAAGAAGCATTATTGTTTCTGTTCTCTCCATGGACATTAAAGCTAGAGTTATTAAACAAGAAGAATCTAGGGGTTCCTGTCCTGAAGAAAATATGAAAATTCAGAAGTAACGAAAAACACTCAAGCATCTAATTAGGAATATGTAAAATAACCCCCATAATGTCATGAGGTAATAATGAATTGGAATTGTAAAGAAGACCCCGTGTTTGAAAATAGTAAAAGGGCTTGAAGCACCATGATGGCTAAATATTTCCTGATTTAATCTGTCCCAAACATTTTTAAGACAGAAGAACTGAAGCAACATAATTACGGGGAGCAAACCAGTGCTACCGTATCCAATATAGCCAACAAGATGCACACAATAGGGATATAGGTTCCCACCGCATAAAAGTAACATCTGACGACTTTTTGGTAGCCGGATGTTACGAGGAATGCTTGAAGAAGCACTTCTATTTCCCTTTTTCACCCCTCCCCACCTCTTTTGGCAGGAAGCTTCTAATGGGAGAAAAGTAATAATAACAAATCTGTGAGGAGCTGAATTACATCTTGAAAGAGACACTGACTTTCCAAAAAACAACCTTGCATGAGAAAAAATATTAAAGATGTCTCCTTTAAGCATACACCTTAAAATTTGTTTTAAGGGGGCAATAGGCACAAAAACCAAGACACTTAACTTTGAAATAGATAAAACGGAATAAAATAATCTATTTGAGCTAAGGAAAGAAAAAAGAGAAAATAATAGGTTTACCGCAAAAAAGTCCTCAAATGTAAAATCTGCATAACCTAAGGTCTGAAGTGTCTTTCGACATTCTTCAATGTTGCCTTTGACACGACCAACCTCGGCATGGTCTTGTGATTCCAAAATGTGCTCCTATTCAGCAATTTAAAATTTTAGAACTTACCATTTACAGATAAAAAAATGTCCCTCCAACAAGAAGCTTGGGAATAAATTAGAAGAACAAAAATAAAATACATCTAGAAAATGTACTATGACATACAAGGTATGAAAACATAAAACTCCGGAAAAAGCAGTTTCCATCACCCCGTGTTCGTCTAATGGCAGCATATTGTTGACTGAGCACCTGCATTAAGGATAACCACCAATAGCTCTTGCTTAGAAAAGATAATAAGCTAACAATTGTGGGCTACAAGGGAAAAGAACAAAAGGATGCACACACACTAATGTAAGATACCTTTATTTTCTCTAGCAAGATAGGACTTCCTGATTCATATTCAGCTGCCAACATACAGAGAGGTTCCTGCAGTTCCATCATAAGAAAGTTTCTTGGCCTCACATAACCAATAAATTTAGTAAAAAGAATGAAAGTTGTCCTTGCACCACAATATTCATGCAAAGACAAAATATGAAGCCTGACAAGCAAAAGAGACCAAATTGACTTTCAAATATCATACTAAGTGAATGAAAAACATATTATTTTGGCCTGTAAAATGAAATAATTAAACAGCATCATAATATCAAGACCTGCATCCTAGTTCTCTAAGCTTCCAAAACTGATAACATGTCTGACCCGCATAAAAAAAAGTCCTGACAAGAACATACGTAGAAAATAGTGTACATTCTACATTCACATGGTCGAATAATCATTATTGGATAAGGAAACGAAAATCAAGGACTTGCATCTAAAAATAAAGTGACAGCATAAGCAACTATGATGCTACAACAATTGAATAGCAACACAAGAGATATTACACATATGCAGAACAGCAAACTGAATATTCAAAACAAAAAATACCCAAAATTTAAGGTGAATCCAACCATGTTTAATAATCTCAAAGAATCATATGTTTCTCTCACCTTGTCGCCTACAAATGGAATTTTCTTGGCTTCCTCAGCATGAATGGCAGATTGTTGCTGCATGATATCATCATCTGCAAAATTTGCCCAGTTGTCAAATTCAGCTATGGGAACAGTAACAGCAGACTCCTTTTCCCCATCAGCTACTGCCCCCTCCTGATTCTGCATCTTTCCTTCAGACAAATATAAGTACTTGCAGGTTTAGTAATATCCTCTACCTAGTGGAGTGAATTATATATCTGCACACTTTCTTACAGAAATATGAATAATCTGTTTCAAAAAAAAAAAAAAAAAAAACCAATTGCCCTGATCAGAGAAAGGATTAATAGCCTCCAGCTAAAAACAAAGTAAAAATATATTAATATAACAATTATTATTCTATATGCCGGTAATGGAGTAAATTAACTCCACAAGAAGTTTTATATACTTGCTTAATACTGCAGTTTATAGTTATATTAAAAAGTAGTAAAGCGCATAAGCCTGTTTGTATAGTTCTGAAATTCCACCACCAGTGTACATTATAATAGTCCACAACCAGGAAACAAAAATGCTAAAATTTGCTAAATCAATTATGGAATTTAAACCTCCATGCATGATGAATCAAACTTTTTAAATTAACATGAAATTTTTATCATATTTATATTAGCTAACTTTGGGTACCCTTTAAATTTCACATTTTGCACAGCCATTAACACCTTCCCTTGAAAGAAACAATAAGATTTGGCTAAACTAAATCAATCAAGCACCAGTATTCTGAACAAAAACTCGTAATCAAAAGGAACCCTTTTTATTCTTCAAACGGAAAAAAAAAAGTAGAAGAGGGTCAAATTTAGAAGAGTGGAGTGAGTGAAAAGAAAAGTGAGCTTACCAGAATTTGAAGATTTTGGAGTTGTTTTTGCAATTCTCAGATCGATTACAAAGCGTTTCAAAAGGGATCTCCGGGCGACTCTCCCTATCTCTATCTCTCCTTTTTTTTTTTTTTTAAACAAAAGCAAGTAAACGACACGCCTTCGTCGAGTTTGATTTTTACCCCTTTTATGTCTTGTACTTTGGGCCCTTGATCATAGATGCCGCTTTGATATGGTTTTCACCTTTTTTTTGCCACATTATTATTAGATTTTAATTTTTAACACACCAACTACAGTTAGATAGATGAAAAAAAAAGGCAATGACTTATAAATTAAATTAAAAAATATAAAAATTAATTGTTAAATAATATATTTTTATCAAAATGAGATAAATAAAATGCATCTTTTAAAAAATGAAATTAAAACTTTGATTTTAAGAGTTATGTTCTTCTTCTAATCTTTTAAAGGCGATTCCAATCTTATTTTTGTGTTGAAAAAAAAAATGCAAAATAGCATAGATTTAAATAAAATTAAAAGTAGAATATTGTAGAGAGAAGCGAAGCTATAGTCCGACTTAAAAGAAGCAAAACACATTATTCCATTTTTTATTTGATTGAAAATTTAAAATGTTGTCAATAAAGCTAGAAAGTCAATTTGTGATAAGTTTATAATGATTTTAAAAGATCGTAAATAATAATTAATGGTAAAATAAATACACAAATAAAAATATAATTTTAATTTTATTTAATATTATCAAAAAAATCATCATTATCGATGAAATTTTTCATCAATAAAAGTCAATTTTTTGTTAGTAATGATATTATCGACAGAATTTTCAGTCAGTAAATTTTATCAGTAGTATAAAAATTAGTAATATTTTTTCATCAATAAAACTAAATTTTCGTTAGTAATTATCGACAGAATTTAAAGATGAAAAAATTTTGTTGATGAAAATTTCATCTGTAAATTTTGTCGAAAACAAGTCAGTAAATATTCAGTAATCTGACGAAAAAATTCGTCAGTAATACATTGATAAAATCCTTTGGTAATATATTGATAATCGATCACTAAATGTGATTTTTGTTGGTAATATGTCATAATAATGATATTCTATTAGTAATAGTAAAATTTTGTTGATAAAATCTGTTGGTAAAATTATAAGTTCATCTATAATTTGATCAATTTCATCTATAACTATTTAAGAAACTTGTAAACTAAAATTAAAACATGTGTAATTATTTTAAAAACTTATTATTTTTGTTATTATTAATTAAAATATAAAATCCCTATATCAAATCCGCATAACAACTTATAAAACAACCCAAATTATAAAGTTAACATTCTTAAATTATCTAACATCTACAAAATATAGTACTAAAAAAATCCATAACATTCATAAAATCCATGATACAAGTCCTCAAAGACATGTCATTGTGCTACTGCATCTCCTGATCCAAAATATGTGTTACCGTCGTTAGGTTTAGAAAATTTTGTTGGCGAAAATTATCTAGACCCTATCAACTGCATCATTGATCTAAGAAAAACCTAAGCTCAGTCTTCAACTGATCAATATGTTTTTGTATGTGAAGATGAAGAGGCATAGATGACAAACCACAAAAGAAGTAAAACGTTGCTGCTACAACAATAGACTGACTTGAGTAAAAGAGGCCTTTAGATTTACCTGCAGATCCAAAGCCATATATATAAGTGCATATAGCTTCAATCCATGCCTATGGATCGAAATTTGAATTATTAGAAAAGTTTTCACCAATTTATGAGATAATGTAGCAGTATAGTTTTCTTATAAAAAAATTAAAACAAGTATCATTTCATTTTACTTGTATAGTTCAATAAAATAAATCAACTTCAAACAATTCATAATGTGAAGATTTAATTATTAAATACGAAAAGTATTCACCTCTGGCAAAGTCATTACATTTCAATATGCATAAAATACTATTTAGTTCACTATTGAATTTCCTACAATTTTTAGGCTGTCAATTACTATAAGGAACTATACATTATAATCACAAAATAAGACCAAAATCACAAAGCAAAATATGCAATAGTTTCCATCTTTCATAATACTCACAAAGCACTATCTAGTTCAATACTAAATTTCATATAATATTTAGGCTTTCAATTACTACATTATCTACTTCATCAACAATCACAATACACAACCAAAATCACTAAGAAAAATACTAAATAGTTTTTACCTTCACAAATTCATTGTATCTCAATAAGCACAAAACACTATATAGTTCAATATTGAATTTCCTACAATATTTAGGCTTTCAATTATTACACTAATAACTTCATCAACAATCACAATACACAACCAGAATCACAAAGCAAAATACCTAATACTTTTCACCTTTACAAATTCATTATATCTCAAAAGCATAAAAATATTATATAGTTTAATACTAAATTTCCTACAATGTTTAGGCTTTCAATTACTATCCTATCTACTTCATCAACAATCACAATACACAACTACAATCACAAATGCAAAATATGCAATAGTTTTCACCTTTCGCAAATGTGATCTCATCTAATATACTATAAAGATAGTTCATCAACAATCACAATACACAATTAGAATCACAAAGCAAATTACATAATAGTTTTCACTTTTCACAAAGTTTTTACATCTTAAAACATAAAACATATTATCTATTTTAATATAGCAAGATATCAATTTGAAAGAATTCACAAAGTCATTGGAAAGTTGCACATATTGACAACTTTGGATTTGTCAACAAAATCACTACATCCTCTTGAACGTCTGTAAGTGCAATTGAAAACTTCTGTAATGTTGGGTTCTCGTGTAACTCAAGTCATTGCATTCGTTTAGAGACATTCAATGAAATATGCAACAATGCAATTTATATAAAATTAACATTTAATAATAAAAAATAACTTGTGAAAAAACATCATACCATTCTCTTTTTTATGAACAGAAAATGCAACTAAGCCATCAGTGTATTTCATAATGCTTCTTTCTTTTTGTATCCAATGATTTTATTTGGGTTTGGCGTAGGTGTTTTGCCATAGAGTGCTCCATACATTCTCAATAAGAGTATCCCAAATTAGAGTTATAGTTCACCTTTGCTCAATCCTTTTGCAGTGTATGATGTTATCAACTCCATGCTCTTTCATTGTCAATTCCCTATCATCGGACAATAAGTCTTTTAATTGATTTTTAGAAATATTGTTCTATGCCTATTGAATAAGAGCATCTAACTCAATCCATTGACTTTTTCCTAACATAATAAATAGAAATACAATAAATGGTTGATAAGAACTTAAACTTTTCATTCAAATCAAATAAAAATATATACAAAAAATAAATATTCAATTACTACCTTAAATTTATCAAACATTAAAGACTTCATTGGCACAAGAACTTTACCCCATGTCTCCCAAAGACCAATAAAATTCACTTGAATTATTCATGAAATTGTTGAGCTAACCGATTATTGTTCAAAATAACTACCACCATCCATTTGTTAGTAAAATTAGTTAAAATGCTTGAATTCTTTCAAAAAAAAAATAACAATAAGAAAAAATTAATAGTAAAAAGTATATCATATTTTTCTCCTAGCAAAGTAATTCACAACTGCTTGTCTGGATTTGTAAGAATTAATGCTTTGTTTGCTCCCTTAGTCCTTTACTTTGTTATCTTACTTTTTTCTTTTCTAAGTGGTGTTTTGTAGATGATTGATGGATTTATGTCATGATCTATTGATAGATCATCCATTATCTATGCGAAAGATGACCCGTATAGTAGATCATGCTGTATCGGTGCTGAAAATGATCGGTATCACAGATCATGCTATATTGGTGTTAAAGATGACCTATATGATGTATCATATTATATCAATGTTGATGATGACCTAATACATGAATCACCTTTCATTGATCCTAACCTAGAATCACCTCAATGAATAGAGCTCTTTGCACAATGTCCCATCATAATTATCACATGGAACAAAAACATTTCATAAGTATTCCAAAAGCACAAACAAAATAAATATATATAATATTACTTTAGTTTACAATATTAGATGAAATGAGCAAAATATATAAAAATAAGCATATCAAAACATTATAATTAAAATAGGCCAAATCAACTATTATATTTAACGTTACATATTTGACAACATCGAATAAACATTATATATAGCATTAAAAGTTATACTTAATACATCAATTGGTACTAGAATAAGCAAACTTATATGTTTCATCATCATCATCATCATTTTCTTCTTTTTCTTCTTCTTCTGTTCGAATTGCTTATTCATAATTTATCTCTTCATAATCACTAGTAACAAAAATTATAGGATTATTAAGTTCTTTTAAGATAGTAATATTTTATGGAATAGAAACTTTAACTTCTTGCTACAAGTCTTAATTTAAATCAGTTGTTTGTTCTTGATATCCATCATTACTACTTAGTTTATATGTACTCTTGGTCTTTATTTTAAAAATTGCCCACCAATCATTTTGATCTCTTCTTATAAAAGGATAGCTTGTATAGGAAACTTGATGTACTTGCAAAACTAAGACGAAATGGTTCATTGCTAGTAAGCATTAAAATTGTGTTTAATTTCAACAAAACCATGACAGGGATCTAACTTTACCCCATTTTTCGTGTCAAACTAATAGTATTTAAAAAGTATAATCTTGTTCCCTACTAAAAAATAATCTAACTCAATGATATATTCCAAGATACCATAAAAGTTATGCTCATAATTATTGTAATAACTTCTTTGCACACTACCCCATAATTCATCATCTTTTGAGTTTGATCATAGTTAATTGTATGAAATTTAAAACCATTCATAAAGTAACCTTGGAAATACCTAACTATATGTCCAAGGCGATAAGCTATCTCAACTAGACGACGATTAGTGTTGCTATTTTGCTTTTCAATATATCCAATCGTAAAATATTAAAATTGATCATTGTTTTTAATTATATAAAAATATGATTTCTATTTATATATGCTATTATGCTCTAAGCTTACAAATTATCTTAATTATTGTAAAAATCTTACATCACATGCTTTCTCCAATTTCGCATCACTTATATTCACAAATTCTCTTTTAATTGAGTTATCAAATATCCTATCATGGTAAATTATGAATTAGAAAAATTTTAAAAACTAACTAG